TCATTTGTTATAAAATTGTACAGCTAATGACCAAATCAATGTGGCCGATGACGGAACTTTTAGACAATAATGAATAATTTTTGCATGTTGAGATAAGAATAAGTCCGGTTCCAGTGTACGACAAAAATTGTTCACAGAGGTTATTACTTAAGATTGTGTTCAATATACTAGGAGGGAACAAAATTGATCAAGAACCACATGGACGTTTCCTACAATACCACAGTGTACAGTGCACAAATACCGTGAAAATTGACCCTGCTGAATAACGAACACCTACAAAGGTCTCAAACTGATGTATGTCAAAAAGCCAAACGAATTCAAGACTACATGAAAATAATCATAGTGCAGTACAGATTAAAAGCGAAGGAGATTAAAAAGGCACATTTCCCGGAAAGTTTATTTAACACGTGGGTCTTTGATAATAAAACACCGAATACATAGAATTATCAGAGTAACGAATAACTCAGAAAAGCGTACTATGCAATCTTTCGCAAAACCCCGTGGATAACAATAACGAACCTAATCTGTTGATCATAACAAGCAAAAAACCGTCTGATTGAAAGCGACTGCACGACACACCGTCCTACAACTAGCAGCAAGAACTAAACTGGGCTGCCATGACCTGGCATATTGAAGATTTGGCGAACAAGTGAGAGCTCGCTCGCGATTGAGATATCTGAATCTCATTAAAGACCGATAATATTGGCTTCTGATACCAGCGAACCACTAACCATTCCACTACAAAGGGAGCTACGAAAAAATAGCGTAGGGTAAATAATACGAGAACACTAAATGGGTGGCCGAGCTAAGTTAAAAAATGAAACACAACCAGCAAACATAGTATTAGAAATATTTAGAGTCCTTAGGTAACGGGCTTTGCAAACGGAAAATTAAATTCGTTGCAAAAAAGGACCGTCACCTAGACTAGGAGTACACAAATGCTTAAATTTAGTTAAGGTAAAAAGCAATAAATGACATAGTGAGCCACTCGACATGCAGAATCAAGGCAAATCTCGAGACTTACGAGCATATCACCAGCGCTGTTGAAGGCCAGGACAGAAAATCCTTCAATGACTGTCTCCTCAAAATGCGACGGAAATTTTGTGTTCAAACCAAGCTTTAGAGAGGGCGAGCACACATCTTGTTTGAAAGAGAAAGTGTCACAACCAGGCAACAAATCGGGTGCCGGAGAGACGAACTCAAGAAGCGACTGGTTCTCATCTTTTATTGCGAAAGTCTTCTCGGTCATACCAAGAGGTGAGTCACTTGTGTCGGGTATAGGAGGGCGCCGACCCAGGACAGATTGCACACTGGCCCCAGACTTAATTCTTTTGAGGGACCGAAAAGTACGGATCCGAATGCCATTCGTAAATTTCAGGTTCTTTGCCTTTCTGGCTTGAGCGATGCATCGTTTGCTTCCTTCCCTCTCCACTGACTTTATCTCCGAATTCTGATCCAGCTCACTGGTAGAGGCGACATGGCGGTCCGTTGCCTTAGCCGTCCATGGCACACCTTCCACGACGCGAGTTGCAATATGAGATATTTCAAGTGCCCTATCCGTGGATAAGAGGTCTTTACGAAGGCCTGGCGTGCGGAGCAAATTGTTGTTGCGGCGTCGACACCTCACACGTGAACGATTCATGATAAGTCTTTCATTGTAACAAAAAACGATAGAATGTTGCTTTAAGCATATTTATAGATGGGAAGGTAGTCAGCTCATTTTGCACTAGTATCGGCCAAGAATTACTCTAGTACGAAAAATCGTAACGTTACTTGATTAGCTTTGAACGACGCGCATTTTATCTGGTCCAGAAAAACAAGCATTCCTTCGCGGAAAGACTTCCAGAAATATCATTAATTACAACAGTGTATAAACTCAGCCATAACTGTACTATGAAGAGGCTTCCGACCTTAAGATTGTTAGTAGTTGATTTAT